AGAGGATGAAAGTAGGAAACTGACTTTGTTCTCTTGCCTCCCCCCCATGTGTTCTCTTTAGCCTCGTTTCTCTGTCTGCGTTCTTCTTTCTCTTTATGTATTTTAATCATTGTACTTCTTAGTTTTAGTTCTGACTTTGTTTTATTAAGATAGTGCTCACCTCCATTGAAAGTCTAATTTACAAGCTTGATCCCGTCGCATCAAACCAACAAGGATCATTAGAAATGTATATATATTTGTAACAGATCAATAACACCGCGCCTTCGCTCTCGATTTCCAAAACCTTTTTTTTTCTGTTTTCAGCGAATACCAAACGTTGACTGGGTAATCACATAACACTTCTACTACACACACTCCGATTTCATTGTTTATAGTTCAAGTGTATTATGATAGTAGAATAGGTGATAAACATTTCTTATTTAGACCAGTTCACGGTTTGGTGTCTTTCTTTGTGTGGGAAATGAGGTCAACTTAATCAGAGCATACGGCTTTCAGATAACAGACTGATAAACATGATTTCACATGAAGTCTCTTTGAGATTTCATTTAAAATAATTCCTCAGTGAACTAAATCAACGAATGCAACAGAACTACAAAGCATAGTTCTAACATACGCTACAATGTCTTACACACATGGAGGATTACAAAAATCAATACTTTGCCACCTCAGGTGGTACCAATAAGGGTTTTTTTGGGTCTTGGCCCATGTAGTCTAAAGTAAAAAAAAATATATAATACCATGGAAAAGACTGACCTTTGTCTGCTGATATAAAGGAAATAAAAGAGACCACGTGTGTTGGTTTTACAAGCTGATCACAGCCATAAATATTCAGCCCAAAGACACAAAGATCGTCACTCAGCAGCTTCCCCCGACAACAAATCGGAACGCTCTGCACATTGAGTAAGACGCAATTTGAGTGTTTTTAAATATTTAGAAGTTTGAAATAATTATTTTAGTGTAACTTTGCGGTTTTATCAGCTGTTTAGTGTAATGAAATCACTTTTATGTGCTCTGTAATTAGTGTAGTCATGCAGGTCTTTTTAATCCAAGGAGTTCAGTAAAAAACAACTGGACTTCTCCCAGGATTACAACAGTGAGCAAAGAGAAAAGAAATGTGTTGAATGTCTGATTGTATTTTCTTTTATGCTGAACATTACTGTTTGTTTGCCAGATTGTACTGACAGATTGCAGCATCTAATCCAAAAATGTAACCGTTCAGTACTTTGTTTTCTAAAGAATGGTTGTGTGACTCTGCCACTCTGTCTCCCTGAAGTTATTTTATATGCTAATTTTCAGCATAAAATTCAGTTTGAACGAAATCAAGAGTCCGTTTAAAGAGTTGGTTTACAACTAGTAACCCAGTAACAAGTCAATATATTGATATAAGTGTAGTAGACTAACTTAGGAAGACATTGGAGGCCTATACACTGGTGATGTAACACATTGAGACAAAGGTCAAAGTCAAACTCAAGGTCATAAATCTTAGGTGCTTAGCCGTAACGTAAATTACAGCAAAACGCTTCCCCTCCATGCAACATATCTGTGTTACATGACAGACTGAGCTCTTGTTACATTATGGATCATTTTAAGGCAAAATCAAGGCAAGTTC